TTATAAGTACATTAATAAATTGTTTAATTATTATTTTATTGTTTAGATAGCTTAAATAGTTTAATTTATAGTAAGCACTGTTTTGGAAAATAATACTCACAACAATGAATTTTTATTAAAAAATATTATTATAAGATACTTTATTAAAGTCAAATAGTATTTTTTTAATTGTTTTGATTGTACACGTATATTTTTTATTATTCTTCGCAAACCTCGTAGAAATATTATAATAATATTACCATGAAAAAAAAACATCATTATCATGTCTAAAAATATTTTTTATTAGTTAAAACGATGTTTTTTTTATTTTTTATTAAATACATAGTGTTATGCCACACAAGGAAACCAAATATTTAACCAAAATCTTTATAATTTTAGAAAAGAATTCCAGCCAAGTGCCAGCTAATGTTCAGTGTAAATATTAATATTAATACTTTTTAGGTATACGTACAAGATACTTTCAAAATCTCTTTCAAGAAAATAAAATAATTTGTTTTATTTAAATTCTTATTTTAAAAGGTTTATTTGCAACTTTACGAAAATCATATACCTATGACAAATAAAAGAATAAAAAAATGATATATATATATCATCATTAGTTATTTTTCAACAATTAATGATTTTTTTGTAAATTAATTTATATGTATAAAATAAACATCTATAAAATACACTTAAGTGAATTAGCTTATTAATTCATGGGTCAATTTGATTCACTACATGTATTTATTTATAAACAGCTAATTAAATACAATTATTACACTTTAATTTTGAAATTGTCTTGTACAATGTTAATGATTTTTTTTTATTACAGCGATGTTAAATTCTACAATAGTAAATACTTATGCTTTTACATCATTATTGTTTTTAGAGATACAAACAATATTTGATAACGAAAGTATAAATTGTAACATTTGTTACTTAAGTTTTATGAAATATCTATTTGTTAGTGGTTGCTCAAAGTTATGAAATTGACGTTATAAAAGAGTTTGCTATAAGAGGTAATTCAGCTCTGATGAAATGTCAAGTACCATCCTATGTTTCTGACTTCGTACAAGTGGTATCTTGGATTACTGGAGATTTGGAATATGTTTTAGGATCAGAGTATGGTAGGGATATTTACTAATGTGAATTGTCTGGTTCTTTTCGAATAGATGGTCTTATTTGTATAAGCACTTTTCAAAAACGTAATTTCCTCAAATTTTACATTAATTTTTTCGTATTCAAAAAAGTTCCTTTATATTGATAAACGTGTATGCAGTGATGTAATTATAAAAGGGATTTAAATGTCACACCCCTCATTTTGCTATTTGAAAATTATCTAGTTGAAGTATTAATTTTTTTGTTTGTTGGGTACGAAGAAAATATTGACGTTTTTCATTCATGTTAAAATCCAAATTACGTCACCATGTATGCTTGTTCAAGTTCTCATAAATGTATCTTAAAATAATTTGGCATATTATACACAGTTACTATAACTTTATTTTTAACAGTCTTAAAAAAAATGTCCGAGTTTTTACATACACTACTGGATGTATTTAACGAATATGGCGTAAGGATAAATTTTGATAAATAGTGATAAAAATGCTATATTTATGACGATTTTTCTATACTTTATATGAAAATTATACTATTTATGTGTAAAATTAACTTGTATATCAAATGTAGCATACTGACGTATGATAATTTTTTGGATCATTTATTATAGTGAATATAAAATTTTGAAAACTTTTCGAATGGTTTATTGTTTTGTCTTTTTCAATAATATGTGTACTGTCACGTTATTATAGTCGTTTCACAAGCGTACGATACTGATGTCAATAAGGCATATGTGATTCGAGGAAATTCAGTTATTATGAAATGCGAAACTCCGTCGTATGTTTCCGATTTTCTATCTGTGATTTCATGGCACACTGACACAGAAGAAATATTCTATCCGGGGTTTGAAAATGGTATTAAATTTGTTTATGTGCAAAATACACAAATTTAAAATTATATATTGTGATAAAATTATGAACTATTGATATTCATGTATGGAAAAAATTCTACTCAACTATTTTTTTAATGATACCCAAACGTACCCTTCCAAAACAAGTTATTGTTTAACATGGTATACTTTTTGTCGATATTGTATTATCATAGCTGTGAGTCAATATTATGAAGTAGACGTTAATAAAGAACCAGTGATAAGAGGTAATTCAGTAGTAATGAAATGTGGTATACCTTCATTTGTTGCGGATTACATCTCCGTATTGTCTTGGCACACCGAAAAAGGTGAAAATTTTTACCCAGGAACTGATTACGGTATCTATACAAATATAGTTATATGAGTTATCTTATCCATTGTGTTTATGAGAGAGTATGAAAGAAATCCTTAAAGTAACATACATTATTCCTTTTTTTGTGATCCGCAAAAATTTTATTTAGTGATTATTTATTTAAATTACTTATATATATATATTTATTTTGTTCTTTGTATTTTATAATTGCGTATAGTAATTGAGGAACCTTATAGAAGTGAAGTGAATAATGAATATGTGATTCGAGGTAACTCAGTTGTGCTTAAGTGTAGCATTCCACCATTTATCGCTGATTTTGTATCAGTTGTATCTTGGCAAGATGACAACAACAATGTATATGAAAACTCTTTTATCAATGGCGTTACATTGAATCTGACTAATCATGGTATCATTTATAAAATATAATATTGTGTGAATGGATTATATTTGTCAAGTTTTTTTTTTTTTTTTGAACTACCCTACACTATATTTTATTAAATTTTTTATATTCATTAAAGTTTTATTTTAATAATGTGTCATTTATTTAGTTCTTGCTGAACCTTATAGAAGTGACGTAAGTCCAGAATATGCGATTCGTGGAAATTCAGTATTATTTAAATGCAATATTCCTCCTTTTGTGTCTGATTATGTCAGTGTAGTTTCATGGGAAGATGATGCTGGTTTCGTTTATCATAGTGACAATAAATATAAAGTCACAGATTACGGTATAACAGAAATACAAATTGACTCTCCGTGTAATGAATGTGTGATTTAATACAATCAATTTTTCCTTTTCGTCCTTTTTTTTTAATACTTCGAAAATTTTATTACGGAATTAGCTAGTTTGTCTTTTATCTTAGTAAAATATTAGAATATAATTATTTTTTATGTTTTTTTCAATAAACATTTAAACATTAAACATTTAAAGTAATTCAAGAACCTTACAGAAGTGATATAGGATTAGAATATGCTATCAGAGGAAATTAGGTTGTTTTAAAATGTGATGTATCACCTTTCATTGTTGATTTTGTATCCGTTATATCGTAGCATGATGACACTGGAAATGCTTTTTTTACTATGTCTACTCAGTATGATGGTATTTGCAAATTAGATCATATCCGTAAATATGACGAATAAATGGTTATCTAATTTTTAGTATTATGACTGTGCTATCTTTTGTTTCCTAAATATATGTTGAATATCACACTAGTCTTTCAGTGTTTGCGTTGTAATGTTAGACATCTTAAAGAGAGTGTAACATGCGATATTTTAATATCTTAATATTCTTGTGCCATCTGCAAATAAAAATTATTAAATTAAGATTTGATATTTATTGTTATTTGTTAGCAAAACAATTTAATTTTGTTATTTTACGGTCAGTTGTCACGCAAAATTATCTAATAGAGGTAAATAATGAACACGTGATCAGAGGCAATACGGCAGTTTTTAAGTGTAGTATACCTTCATTTGTCGCTGATTTCGTGACAGTTTTATCGTGGACGGATAATACTGAAAATTCATACAACATACAACATACCAATAATGAAGGTATTTTAAAAATCTAATTGTATCAATATATTTAGAAAATCAAACTTAAAATCATCTAACTTCATTATCCGACGTACCCTTACAAAGAAATAATTGCAAAGATTTATTTATGTTTTGTTTTGACTGAGATAAATGTACATGAATTAATTTAATATTATGTAATACTGTCTGTATTCTATATGAGTTAACGATTATTGAAATGACTAGACATTTTTTTTATGTAATCAAATTTGTTGTTCGTAAGTTGACTTAAATCTATAAATGTATCTAATCATAATTTGCTGTTAAAAGCTTGTCTAAAATTAAATGATTCACTATTTTTAATATACCATCATTTATTTTACAAAAAGTTGTTAGTCAAGAATATGCTTCCGAAGTAGTAACTGAATACGTGATACGTGGCAATGCTGTTATACTAAAATGTACGATTCCTTCGTTCGTTGCTGATTTTGTTGCTGTACATTCTTGGATATCATCAGAAGGACAAGAGTTTAATTATATTGATAGTGGCTATGGTATAAACGTTACTTAGAATTAAATGAGAGTCGCAAAAATCTTATTCCTTCTATAACTCCTTCAATTTGAATAGCCGCGTGTATATGTTTTGTTTTTCTGAACTATTGAATTTTTATACTAGTTGTAAATCAGAATTATGAAACGGAGTTGATGCCTTCAGAATATGTCATTAGGGGTAATTCACTGGTGTTAAAATGTAATATACCGTCCTTTGTAGCTGATTTTGTAACAGTTGATTCTTGGGTTTCAAGTGATGGTCAACTTTTTACTAAGGAAACAGATCAAAGTAAAATAAACATTTTTCTTCAGATTCTATATGTACAAATGAATTTCCTTTTTATCCACAATAACAATAGAAAATTAGTAAAATTAGTAACATGAAGAATGGATTTAATCAATTAATGAACAGGTATATTTATTGGGATATAATCGAGAGACAAATTTACTAAAAAAAAATTAAATTTACTTTTTTTATATTTACCCTTAAATGTTCTAATAATTAATGTTACAAATTGTATAAACGATTTACAGTTGTAATGCAAAATTACGTTACTGGGACAGAAGATGAATATGTTATACTCAGTAATACGGCTATACTCAAATGTAAAATTCCAAGTTTTGTAGTTGACTTCGTTTCAGTAGATTCATGGGTATCTTCTGATGGACAGGAATTTTATTATTCAGTTGATAATCATAGTAGGCTGAATGAATTTTGATATAGATTTATTGTTTGTTTTATGAATTTAATCCATTTTATCCTTTGTTACAAAAAAGCAACTGCTTCTTAGCATAATAATTATCTATACATAACTGTTATCTTTTGTGATTTTTCAAAATTTTCAATGTCTAAATTAGTGTATATTTTTTAGTATACCTTGATAAAATTTTGTTCTTTTGAAATTATGTTTATATGTTGTTGAAATTCAAGAATAAGTTCAAGTTTCATAAATTTACCGAGTAAGACTATTGTGATTTATGTGGTTTACTGCAGATAAATAATAAAATATTTTTAAAATAGAAAACTAGTGATCTTTATATCTATATTATAGTTGTTTTAAATATCGTTTTTGTACTTACGAATCAAATAATTTTTACAATTTTAGTTTAAGAATCGATCCTAGATAATTATGTTTTTTAATAGTTGTACATCAATCATATGAAGTAGAAGCTGATAATGAGTATGTTATCAAAGGAAATAGTGTTATAATGAAATGTGAAATACCCAGCTTTGTGGCTGATTTTGTTTCGGTAGTTCAATGGGAAGATTCGTTAGGGAATGAATATTATCCCAATAAAGATTATGGTATAATTTAATGAAAAAAATATTGTTGTGGTTTTAGTTACGATGTTCAATGTATTAAACAAATCCTATTTTTTTCCTTTTTTTGAATATTTTAAAGAACGTATAATAAAGTCTTAGGAAAAAATGTTGATATTTGTTATGAAATTTTTGATTAATTTAATTAAAAAATTAATCAAAATTATGTTTTCATAGTCGTTAGCCAATCTTATGAAACTCGAGTTATTGACGAATATGTACTTCTGGCGAATGTAGCTATTTTTAAGTGTCTTATTCCAAGTTTTGTTGCTGATTTCATTCAAATCTTAGATTGGTTAGATGAATATGGTAATAGTATAGGGTCAACAATCGATACATTGGGTATAAATTTTATATTATAAATTATAATGTAGATAATTCTAGAACGATTGCAAACTTGAATATTTGTATAGCCAATCATTTTCCTATCCAAAAAATATTTTTACTTAAATTCAAAGATTTAAAAATTTTAATAAATGAACATTGATTTTTATTTATTTTATTATTCATACGAAATATGAAATATTGTTCAGTTGTAGAACAATTATATCAGTTACGTGTGAATGATGAGTTTGTGTTAAATGGAAATACAGCTGTTTTAAAGTGTATCGTTCCCAGTTTTATTGGAGATTTTCTAGAAATTAAGGAATGGATTTCAGATTCTGGAGATTCATTTTTAATGAATGAAGAAAACAATGGTTCGCCTTATGATGTATTATTAAGAAAATGAATGAATACTTCTTTAAAAGAATGATAATTTTGTATTCCTTTTTCATCCGGCAACAACGGTTTACTGAACACTTTTTTGATTATCAATTTAATTTGGCTAACGTTTTCAGCTGTAAATCAGTATTACGAAACACAGGTTTACGATATGTTCGTAATAAGAGGAAATACAGCAATTTTTAAATGTGCAGTTCCTTCATTTGTGGTAGATTATGTAATTGTAGATTCGTGGGAAGCCACAAATGGTGACAAATACTACTTCAGTGCTGAAGATATCGGTACTTATATATGCTTTGAATAATTTTATTTTGTATAAGTGATTTGTTGAATGGATTTTAACCTTATACGAAGTCCTGTATAATTTTATGTTTAACTGTAGAGAATTTTTCAACTATTTAAAATGTTATCGGCTGTTTCATTCTCAATTATGTCGCTTTTAAGTAAAAATATTATTATTACACGTTCTTCTTAGGTTGTTTATTAAATTATTACTCATTATTTTTCGTAGCTGTTAATCAATACTACGAGGCTGTATTACATGATATGTTTGTAATCAGAGGCAATACGGCTCTTTTTAAATGCATTATTCCGTCATTTGTAACAGATTATGTTTCAGTTGTATCCTGGGAGGATACAAATGGCAACAAATATTTAATTTCATCTAATGATAAATTTGGTAAAAATCTTTATGTTGTATTTGAATGGTTGGAAATTTCTTTTTTGTTCTTTCTTGTAAACTTATTTTATTATTATTAATATCATATTATTATATTCGAGTTATTAGAATTTTATTTGTATCATAAATCAAATCGATTTTAAAATAAATTAAAAAGTATCTCTTAAAATTTTTTTCGGTCTGTTATTTCCTATAGTCAATTCTCTATTTTTAGTTGTTAATCAATTGTACACCGTTAATGTGATGGATGAGTCTGTACTTCGTGGCAATACGGCGATATTAAAATGTCATATTCCTAGTTTTGTTGCCGATTATGTATTTGTATCCGGTTGGTCATCAAATGACGGGGATGAATATTCAGTTGAATCAAATCAAGTATATGGTACCATTGAATTAAAATTATGACAAATTTTCTTATCTTTTATTTTTTTAATGAGAAATTTTTTATCGGTATCGATTATTTCACAGAATTATCAAATAAACAAGGGTACGTTGCGGTTTCCTTGATTTTATCCATACAATTGCTTCATTATCCTTTATATTCCTATTATTCTAGTATGAATGTCATGAATGAATCTTTTATGTAGTTAGTTGTATACTGAAAATATGAGATTATATAGAAGTATTTTAACTTTTTTGTAACTCTTTATGTGTGATATATTTACTATTCTTTGAAAAATAAAATAATAAAAATCATATAGTAACATACAATATTAAATACTTCTATATATTCTATATTATTAGTATTAAAATGCTTTATATGCTTAAAAACTCTTAACGTGAAATTAATTTAAATTCAACTATAAATATAGTGATGGACGTTATCATGGGTGATCTTTTAATGGATTTTTAATTGTCCCTAAAATTTTTCTTAAAGAATTAATTAAAAACTGCGTTCATTTTTATATTTATTTATAAAAATAATTTCGATTTTAAAAGTAATTTATCATTGCATTCATTTTTTTATTGGAACTTCATTTTATATATTCACTTTAAGAGTTAGAGATTTTACATATATACTTTTTTACGTGTTTAAAATATTCTATTTTCTTAGTTAATTCAAAGGCATAAATTTCAACAAATAAAAAGTATTATACATTTGTTCAGTATTATAAAAATTCAGAAAAATTGAATGTCGTTACGTAATTTTTTTTTTTTGTAAAAAAATTAATTTTTGCATTTTTCTTAAAAAATTGACAATGTAGCAAAAAATAATTCTATAAATACCGTTTTATTACCTTTTATAGACATATTTTTATCACTATTTGTGAAATTAACTTAACGGAAATTAATTAAATATTTTTAAAAATAAAACTTTTTGACATTTTTTCATTTATATTAGATTATTGTTCTTAAAATGTAAAATCTCTTTTAAAAAGCTTAAGCAAAAAAATTATGGTGGAGTACTGATTTAATTAA